CGGATTCGTGTGTTCCGATGTGAACCCAAAAAATACATGATCAAAATAATAATAAAAAAATGCTTAGATGGGTGGACGAGCTCACAGCCCACCTGGTGTTGTTACCGGAGCCCATAGACATCTACGACGTAAATGCGCCACCCACCTTGAGATACAAGCTCTAAGGTCTCAAGTATAGTTACAATGGCTGCCCCGCCCTTCAAACCGAAGCGCATTACTGCTTCACGACAGAAATAGTCAGGTTGGTGGTATGGTACCTACCCGCGCGGACTCACAAGAGGTCCACCCACCAGTAAATAAATTAAATAATGTACATCACAACGATAATTGCAATTCCAAAGCACAACCTACATACGAGTTTTTTAGATTTCTAGATTTCATTCTGGTTCGCATTCTGAAGTAAATTCGTGAACATAAGAAACAAATATATCAATAGCAACAAGCCGTAACATGATCGAGAAAAATGTACGGATATGAGTTGGAGTCGATACAAAGACATGTGATAAATCATTCACAATTCCGAACGGTCGCGTTTGATACCGGAACTTGCACGTGGAATTTGAGAAGCAAGCCTTTGACTATGGTTGTCGACAGTCATAAGGGCGAATTTAAATAGGCTATTTACTTTCTCAAGTGTTTTTGATAATTAATATCAGTACTGCTTACTGAAGCTGAAGATCAGATACCTATGACTGATGATACAAAAGGACTGGATTTGGTTTTATTTGGGTATAATGGTGAAAAGAAGATAAGTAGTGGAGAGAAGAAAAAAGCCGTTTGTGTGTTATGCCTATTCATAAATAAGAAGTTGTACTTATTTTTCCCAAACTCTTCACTGGTACCCTAAGAGCCTATTACAGCTTCGCGCGAAAAATCTTTTTCTTTGGTATATCTGAAAAATGTTACAATGAAATAGATTATACGGTAAAAGTACCCTTTGATCTGCTTTCCCAAATTCGCAAAAAGATATATTATAGCTTTAAACACCAAAGCATAAAAGATAAACGTATAATATTAAAACTGTTTTTACTGACTAACCATCGCTCATAACGGCGAAAATTGTGAAGCATTTAAAAAGTCGGAAATATTATATAATTTCAATATAAAATGCGAGCTGAAACTGTAAAAGTTCCTTTAATTATCTCTATGACTCGCGAAATCCGTAGAAAATGCTAGATACAAATACATCAAATCCAACTACACTACACGAGAGCACATAAGACAATTAATAATTACGTCATAGTATTTAAAATAGTAATAATTACGTTAACTTAAAACTAGTCGTCCTTCAATAGTCATATATGTAGTAATATAGTAAAATAGTAACTATACTTGAGACCTTAGAACTTATATCTCAAGGTGGGTGGCACATTTACGTTGTGGATGTCTATGGGCTCCAGAAACCACTTAAAACCAGGTGGGCTGTGAGCTCGTCCACCCATCTAAGCAATAAAAGAAAAAGAAAAAAGTCTCAATTATACTAGTCCCTCAATAGTAGTTTCAATTAATTATAGTCTAGAAATTAGACTATAATTAATTGAAATTACAAGTTTGAATATTATTGTGGCTCTATTGTACCTCTATAATCACAGGTTTCGCAAGACTACACTATGAACAAATAATATTAAAGACAAACAATATTAATCTGTTCTCAGTTTGACGGGCTTGACCAGACTTTAAACAATAACAAAGGTCTGACAATAAACAAAGATTATTATGTCTGTTGTGTCAAATACACACGGTAGTGAGATTTTGTATTTTTTTTATAGATTTAATGTATTTTTTATGCATAATTAACAAAAACATTAACATTCTGTATTTCTTCTCAATATCTATACTAATACCTATATTATAAAGAAGAAAGATTTGTTTGTTTGTTTGTATTGAATAGGCTCCGAAACTACTGAACCGATTTGAAAAATTATTTTACTGTTTGGAAGCTACACTATTCCCGAGTGACATAGGCTATAATCTTTTATGAAAAAAATTAGGGATCCTTGCTAAAACTCCAATAATGTAACCCAAGGTGTAAAAAAATTACCTAAAATATACTTCACATCGCGTGTCCTGCGAAAACTATTAATGATAGGATAAAATAATGTACTACGACTTTGTAGAACACATTATTATTTACAAAAAGTGTCGTGACAGCATATGTTTAACTATTATAGTTATGCCGCAATAAGTGTTCTTTTATTTAAAAAAATAAAACAACGTCAAATATCATTGAAATTTGTTGGTGTTAAAGACCCGAGCGGAGCCGGAGCGGGCCGCTTGTTCTCTATAAGTGTGGGACATTTCGTACTCCTCCGTCCGCGCAATTTTCGTAAAACAGAGTACAAAATATTTGCTTCACGTTGCTTTGTATTAATATTTTAAAACAAATAAAAATTAATCAAATATGCGCGCCATAAAACATAGTACATAGCAGCCCTATTTCCTTCTATTGTGTTTTGATCAGATATAAAGCGAAAACAATTGAGCTAATATCGAATGTGTGAATGAATTATATGCTTATTAAATTTATTTGATAGTAATGTTTCGTTATGTAACTCAACACACTGCGACAATGTAACGATATTATTCATGTTATATGATATTTCTTGAATTATTCGAACTTAGTTTTATGATGTGAAGTCGTCGTGGCCTAACGGATAAGTGGTCCGGTGCATTCGTGTTGAGCGATGCACCGGTGTTCGAATCCCGCTGGCGGGTACCAATTTTTCTAATGAAATACGTACTCAACAAATGTTCACGATTGGCTTCCACGGTGAAGGAATAACATCGTGTAATAAAAATGAAACCCGCAAAATTATAATTTGCGTAATTACTGGTGGTAGGACCTCTTGTGAGTCCGCGTGGGTAGGTACCACCACCCTGCCTATTTCTGCCGTGAAGCAGTAATGCGTTTCGGTTTGAAGGGCGGGACAGCCGTTGTAACTATACTGAGACCTTAGAACTTATATCTCAAAGTGGGTGGCGCATTTACGTTGTAGATGTCTATGGGCTCCAGTAACAACTTAACATCAGGTGGACTGTGAGCTCGTCCACCCATCTAAACAATAAAAAAATACTCCACAGAGCTGTTGCTGAGATCATTTTGTGACTTAACATCTACCACTCAAATAATTTTCTTTTACCGTTGTGTTTCTTGAGGGCTATAAGCATACTCTTTCTAAAACAAAATTAGAGAAGATTCTTCAATGGTAGATAGCGATATATTTAGCTTTAGTTAATGTAATGACGTCAATGAACGACAGTGTCTTTAAAGGCATAAAAAATTTGTCCCTTTCTTATGTCGCTTTTTGAGTCTGATTAAGATTTGCGATTCGTCGAGTTTTAAATTGGAACATTATTAAAGAAGTTTTTACTCCAAAAAAAATCATAAGTTGATTGTAAAATTCCGAAAACTTTCCTTAAAGGTACTTTATATAACTACTAAGATGCGGTAGGCAGCGGCTTGGCTCTGCCCCTGGCATTGCTGAAGTCGATGGGCGACGGTAACCACTCACCATCAGGTGGGCCGTATACTCGTCTGCCTACAAGGGCAATCTTTTTTCTCCACCTTATCCCACTAGGTGGGGTCGGCACAGCTAATTTTTCTCCTCCATTCTCTTCTATCAGCCGTCATCTCAACACTCACTCCTCTCTCTCTCATATCGTCATTCACAAACATGCGTCATTCGCAATAAATAAAAAAAGTTGCAACTCGATCAGAAATACGAGTCACAAACACGTAAACGCGAAAATATTGTAAATTTAACATTAAAATGCATTCACCAAATGTAACGTGTATTGGAATTTTCAATATAAAATTTGAAGGGCCCTGGTCTGGAAAGAATTCAGAGGGGAATGACGAAACTTCACAATGTAGAGTTGTAGAGCTTGCAACATTTCTAACATATACTATGGAGCGCTGCAAGAAGCTCTCTTCGCTACATTTTTTTTATTTTATATATGGAATTGTAACTGTTAAATACTAGCCACACAGTCGCTTATCTACAGAAAGGCTCCGAAAAAAAGATTAACTAACATCTTCATAAATTATATAGGTTAAATTTTGAACGAGTAAATACCTAATTTTTATCTATATTATTTTATTCTTGCACGGCACCTTTATTTTTATATATAATATATGTATCTACAAATAAAGTATTCATAACACTACATAGATTTTCAATTACAGTATTTGATACATATAAAAACACCTAAAACATACACATAATATTATCTACGCAACACTAATAAAATATTGTTTGCCCGCGTTGAAAGCATCTGCTGTCATTTTAACACCAACTTTTTTACCTTGCTATTGTGCGCTAACACAATCCTTACCTCTATTATATTCCGTTTCAATTCTACCTTAGAAAGGTAGAGCAGGTAGAGTCCGCAAAACCAAACGGTCTGTTAATTGTTCCGAATAATCTTGTGGAACGTTGAATGAATGCAACGAGCTCCTTTAATTTATGATATGTTTATATGTTTCATTTTTGCCTTCAAACATTTATAATATCGTCGTCTCTACATGAATATAGAGTCCAGTCACCGTCCTCGCCAAGCCCGTCGCTCGCAACGAAGAGCTCGGCGAGTAAATTAACCCATAGACAGAGACAGTGAGTTTCTCGCCGGATATTCTCAGTGGGTCGCGTTTCCAATCCGGTGGTAGATTCTGCGAAGCACTGCTCTTCCTAGGACCAGTATTAGCAAAACTCCTGGTTTGAGCCCCGTGAGCTCACCTACACGTCAAGGAGAATCTGAAATAACCTTTCAATTATATCAGCATTGGTAGGAAAAAAATGTAGAGTAATACAAATACATTATTAAATGACACATTACAACTGCTCAATTTGTGGTTTTGATCGCGCAAAGTCTTCAAAACGCGAATGTTTAATTTCAATAAAAACTTTAAAGGAAGATTCAGCAAGAATTACTCAAGAGTATGACTGTATGAATGGTTTAACCGCGTTGCATTTGCTTCACACGTCCGTGGTCCCCGAACAGCGGTCCCCTCAGTCGGTCGGCTGCCGTGATCGCGTGCGGACGTGTCAGCCAATACGAAAACGCCTCGCTCGTAGGAAAACGAAGACGACGAACTGAAAATTTGTCTAAATAAACTGTGCCCCGTTTCGTGCTAAGCATTTTCACAGAGATATATCCGGCTTCAGAAACCGTGACCGATACGGTTTCGCGGACGTTACATTGTTTATACCTCGGCTATATAGTGCAAAATGTGATGTTTGTAATATGTGTGCTCGACGACTGTTCCATTCCGTGTAACATTAAAGTGACGTAGTGTGCTTATAAATTGGAAACTAAAACTATTTCAACGCATACGGATTACATTTCAATCAGGTATGTACACTATATATCGCACATCGCTACTGAGATAAGATAATGTAGGTGTATAATATGTGAGAATGAGTAATTCTCAAGGAGAACTTTGCGTGCGTATTCCGCTCTGATGTTTAATGTAAATTCAGCTAATAATCCGACTACGTAAGCGCTTACTAATAATTGAACTAAATAATGTAATGCGATTGAAGCATTACTTGGAATCTAACAGAGCTCTGAAACAGTGCTTACGTTAGCACATATTATGAATCAACAAAGACTCTATTAGAAATTATTATAAATATTTACTTTAAGTCTTCATAAAGGCACCGTCACATACAACGCGAATTGTAAACATCATCATCATCATAGTCGGTTGCTCTTGGCAGAGCAGTCGTGGTCATGTGGAATTCTTGTTTAATAAAGCCTTGATAGATGTTTTCCATAGTTTGCGAACTGATGCCCACGCACTCGTTAAGTGGGGTTTCAGTAAGGTCTTTCACCTGGTCAGTCCAGCCCATGGTGATTCGTCCACAAGATCTCTTACCATTTACCCTACCCTGAACCACAAGTTTCTCGATAATCTTTGCTGGCCGTCGCGTTGCGATATAAGCGTTCGTAAAATCTGAATCCACTCGACATTAATGAATACAGACAATTGAAAATATCAATGCGACCAAATTAAACACTCTATTGACCTATCGCAAAACAAAATTGAACAGCAACAAATCAAATATTGCACTGATATATTAATGGCGATGAATTACAGCTGAAATAGAATTATTAAAATCGTATTCGAATTAGCTTCAAGAATCTTAGTAGACTGAAAAGTCTAGGAAGTACCCTCAAGGGACACTTAATTTGCGAAAAACATGTCCTAAGTAGGCCACAGATAGCTGATCCAGTCTGCAAGTAGTGTGAGGACGAGAAAGAATGACTCTACATATATCATATGCCTATGCCATCAGCAGCACAAGATTTTTAGTAGAGACCACTCTTTGGCCCCAAGAAGGAGATTTTTTTTTTTTTATTGCTTAGATGAGTGGACGAGTTCACAGCCCACCTGGTGCTAAGTGGTTACTGGAGCCCATAGACATCTACGACGTAAATGCGCCACACACCTTGAGATATAGTTCTAAGGTCTCAGTATAGGCACAACGGCTACCCCACCCTTCAAACCGAAACGCATTACTGCTTCACGGCAGAAATAGGCGTGGCGGTGGTACCCACCCGTGCGGACTCACAAGAGGTCCTACCACCAGTAATTACGCAAATTATAATTTTGCGGGTTTGATTTCCTATAAAAGTACGAAAGTCCAGTTTTTTGCTAGATTTGCACCTCGACAAATATATACTCAAGTCACAAAAAAACCATACGGATCGCCCTTTGCGAGAAATAACAATAAATAGCCGTATTCAAAACCAATCGAATTTCACCTGAATTTAAATATGATAATCACTAGCCACAATAGTAAACTAGATATTTTCCGTTACTTAATTATTTTGGCGTCTCTCCAAAGTTAGCGGATGACCGCAGCATCCTTAAACGAAGCCAAACTTGATGGCATCTCAAGCAATATTCCACTATGTTTTATGGCGTCTTAAAAATACTATTATGTAACTTTGGCCGTCGGTTATCTTTGAGGGAATATAAAATGTATACAGTGTTGGTTTGAGGTGACCAATGACAGACGAAATTTTGAAATTAAATTATGTATTAAGCAGGGCTGCTCTACAATTACACTAGTGTAATTTAAAGTAATACAAACAACTATTAATTTTGTTTTTTGTAAAAAAAAAACGTACATAGAGTCACTATAGTCCTCATAGATTGTCTCTTTTTAGAAATCACATCCGTTGTTATGTTTTTTACTTAAAATTGTATGTGGAAATAAATAAAAAAGCTCACGATTCACTTGGTGCTACCAGAGCCCATAGACATCAAAACCCCTGCCGGCGTTATTAACGTTATTAGCATTTCCAATAACGGTCTCCCCAAAATAAATGTAAAGAAAAATCTTTTAAATTAAAAACCTTTAAAACTCTTTAGTTTAAAAGAAAGATTTTCCTTAGACGGAATCACTCAGCTGCCTTTCTTTCAGGAAAGAGACTAGTTCAATTTTACATAGTATAATAAATAGTACGGTTAAAATATTAATTTTGATAAAAAAATAATAATTAAGGGTTTTTTTTTTAAATTGCATAAAACGCAATTAAGTCTTTTATTGTTAATTCATTGTGGAATATTCTATATCATTATATATATATATATATATATATATATATATATATATATATATATCCGGCACCAAAGTTCCAAACTGTAATAAGTCAATAAAATAATACACTATAACAAAATTTCCAATCGCTGTCTTCATAAATAAAAAATGTACTCTATGTACAATAGTATCCATATACAATAGAAAAACTGGACTACTTTTCTTTCTCATTCGGGAGATGCTTGCTCTGCATCTGGCATTGCTGACGTCCATGAGCTCATGAGCGACGGTAACCGCTTACCTTCAGATGGGACGTACGCTTGTCTGCCTACAAGGACAATAATAATAATAATAAACCGAAAACAGCTTGGCATAAAGTGATGCGAAAACCATTCATAATTTATATAACATTTCAAAAGATCATAAAATATACTTAATAAGAAGCGAGTCTGTAAAAAAACATGATTTATTTGAGCACTTAATAATCATATTATCATAATCAAATAACATAGATTTATATTTTTGCGCTTTTAAACTAAAGCATCGTATTTTCATCGTATTTCTAAAACAATAAATATTTATTTGTAGCCTGATTTATTATTTAAATAACTTTTACGATTTAGTATCGGGCTATTTTTTTTTTGTTTTATATTATTTCGTCCTGTACTCATCAGCACAATGTTCGTATTCTTAGTTATATATGACCACGCAAACTGTAAAGTATTTAAAGCGTCGAAACTACTACAACGAAAGTAAAAAATCCAAGACAAAACCGTAAAAATTGTTTTAATTACGTCTACGGCTCGCGAAAACCGAAATACTAATATACTGTTGTTAATTTATCTTCGGTCGGCACAGCTATTTTCTCTTTCTTTCTCTTCTATCAGCTGTCATCTCAACACTCACTCCTCTCTCTCTCATATTGTCATTCACACACTCCATCCATGTCTTCTTCGGTCGACCTCTTCCTCATCTACCTTGCACTACCACTTTCATACATCTCCTAGACACATGCATCTTCTCTCTAAGCATCACATGTCCATACCACGCTTAATTTATATTCGTTTACTAGCTGACCCGGCAGACTTCGTAGTGCCTCAATAGATATTTAAAATACCTAAACTTTTGTATAAAATAAACTTTAAACAAACAAAAGGAATCCATCCGTCCGACGGGGGACAAAGGAAAACCAAAATTGTTATTTTTATTTAATTCCGAGCATTTTCATATTTATCTACCTTTTAAACCTTCTCTGGACTTCCGCAAATAATTCAAGACCAAAATTAGTCAAATCGGTAGTGCCGTTCTCGAGTTTTAGTGAGACTAACGAACAGCAATTCATTTTTATATATATAGAATATAGATTTTATAATAGAGTATTTCGTTCCCGTCTTGATTTCGGCTGAGATATTCATTTTATATTGCGACGAAGAGCTTATGCATCGAAAGCAATTTAGCTGTCACATTGTCTGATGTTAATATATCCTTCATGAGCGCGAACCCAATAAAATCTACACGCAACAATCATTCCCTAATACACGATTATTAACTTTATAAGACTTAAAATAAGCTGATGATTATTAATTTCCTTGATTACGCTTCATTATATTTAATTTTAAACGTAATCCGAATTTTATTTGATGATAATTTGGTTTTTGCGTAAAAGCTCAACAAGCTAAAGACGCAATCGCTTTCAAAATACATATCAGCGTCCTAAAGAATCAAAATCGCGCAGTACGAGTATTTGAAACATAAGCAACAAATCATTGTTTTTTTTTTACAAAATAGCTATGTATTTGGGTTTATTTTCTTATCACTACAACTATCATCCCGCCTATAAATGCCGCGTAGCTGTCAGCTCAGATTCAAAAGTCGAGACAGCTATTTTACAACACAGATATATTGTCGACACATCTCAGAATGCGTAACTCAATTCGCGCTGTAACGTCTATGATCTCAGATAACCACTCAATAAATTGTCTCTATTAAAAATCTATCTATCAAAGAAAAAACCGATCCGATAAGTTTTATCTCGTAAAACGAACTGGCATCATCTTGTCAATATTAACATAATTTGTTCTACAAATGTTATCGGTGTTCGTTGCAACATATCCTATACAACACACATTCCCTTTGTATGTTTCCTCAAAGGGTTTATCAGTACAGACCTTTCGTTTCGGACGCGTTCTTATAAACACGTGTAAAAGTACACTACTACAGTCTCGATAGCTGGATGTTTATGAAACTATAGCTTTTAGACCGGACATACTTCGTGATCGCCGCTCCGATCTTGCATTAACTCTGATACGATAATTGTAAACACAACTGAGCACACAGCTATGCTTCTTTATTTGAAGAACAGATTCTAAAGTCAACGGTAATACAAGGACCTTTCTTAAAATATTGACTCGGACTACATCCAAGACAGTGCTCCAAATAAAAACGGGCTGATGGTATTACGGTGTCGAATATCGTAGATATGATTTTTGTTCTTTTAAGTATGATCATATTTTTGGAACGAAGTTCCTTATGGGACGGTGCGGAGGGGGAAGCTAGGCAGGTGAGACATGCTTGCAGTTTTGAGTGTCTCAAGCAATTACTGTTAATTTCCGATCACCTTACTTTTACAGAATTCTCACTCGAAATCGTACACTTCGTATTCTTTTGACGTTTTATACCTAACATTCATTCCATTGTTTACATTTTTGGAACGAAGTTCCTTATGGGACGATGCGGAGGGGTTTTTTTTTTTTTTTTTTCTCGCAACATTTGCACGCTTTGTGAAAATGTCTTTATAACGAT